GATGCTCTTTGACAAAATAGGAATAATAATGAATAATAATAATAATAATAATAATAATTTAATAGTATTAATCTGTTGTATTTTTTAAGTGTAAGTTATATGGAGGTGTTCTTATTTTGCCTGTTTTCATAGCAGTGGACAACGCTCTAGCAGTTTATATCCTAACGATGTAGAAGTGTTAGTTTGCATGCAACCACAGTAAATTATATCATTTCAAGAATCCAAGTTGAACCAGCTACAACAAGACACATCGCACATTAACACATTAACATGAAATAATATTTATAGCAGCAACAAATTAATTGAAGTGGTAAAAGAAAAAAAAGGGCTTCCAGCTTCCTCCTACAGTCCTGCTATTAAGTTAATTAGTGATTCAAAATTGGCTATAGGTGTGAATGGGACTGTAAATGGTCTGTCCCTCTGTGTTAGCACTATGATGGAATGGGATCTGTGGAGGGTATATCCTGTCTCTTGCCCTGTGACAGCCGTGATAGACTCATTAGATAAATAACTAAGACGGATCGATGGATGGATGGACCTAAGATAAAAAAGTAAGATGTGAAATAAGTTAGAAACAGAGAGTTTGTAGCATTTAAGCTTTATGTAGCTTTTTGGTAGACATGGATTTGGTGATTTATTAATCTGCTAACAGTAAAATATTACTGGAACAAGTTTATATATAACCAACATCTTCTTTAATGTCAGTGGTCTGCACACATGTTCCTGCACACCAGCACACTTGATTGACTGGACCTATGTTCAGGCTAAAGTTAGCAGCGCTATCCTGGGAATTATAAAAGGTAAAGGCCAGACTCTGTCCTAATAAAGTGCTTCAGAAAACATAAATTGCAGACAGGTTTCTCTTTCATCTTAACTGTATCTTGAAAGTGCCGTTAAACTAATGCAGAAAATGTAATCTCACAAAAAGATTTTTTTAAGTCTGTTTCCATTGCACTTTGTCACTTCTTACTTTTATTTGTTCAATAACACATCAACGTTGCCTTTCACACAAACCTGAAAGATTTTTTTTATAAAGTGAATATAAAAAGAGCTAGATCAAGATGCACTTAGAGAGCCCGCAGTAACCAATGAGACCTTGAAACCATGACAGCTAAATTGAATTTGTCACCCATCAATTATATCATTCATACCGGTCCTTTAGCTTATATAGCTTGTCAAAAGGAAAAAAGAAGTATATATTTTTTCAGATTCAGACCAGTGCAGAAGCAAAACATTATGTTCCTCGAGTGCCCACTTGAGGCTGGCTCCACAAGCCAACTGTGGTCATCTTGACCTCTTTAAGTGGATATCTAGTCTTAGATCTAAAGTGACAATAATTTAAGGAACTAACTCAAGGAATTCAATCACTTGACCATGATTGTATTGCATTTTAAAGGGAATTATCTAATATGATTCTTTAAGGTAACGTTCCTAACAGACTGTCCAAGAAGTCAATTTTGGGGGTGGAATTACATTTTTATTATTCATGTTAATAAGCACAAATTAGTAGGTACCTAGTGTGATGCCTCTTTTCTCAACTAAGATTTCTTGTTATTAAAATGTTTGAAATGTTTTCTTAAATTAAATTGTAATAAAAATAAAATTTTTATCAAAATAGTTTATTACAGTGGTTTATTAGTCAGTGCTGCTTCACAATAAAACAGGGTATATGTTTATATAACTGTGGAAAACAGCAGTAATTACAGGCATTTGTCTGAAGTAAAACTACACTCTAGTAGATAAATTAATGTTTTTTTTCCGTTTGGAAAATCCAATTTGACGGTTAGCAACAAAAATGTAATAAAGGGAAATGAAAAAAGAAAGAAAAACTATAATAAAAACAAAAAGAAAGTTTCTCTAACCTGCCAGTTCAGGCTCTCTATTTAACTTAAGTTCTGTACTTCTCTCTTGTCTTGAATCAGTGATGCTAGAAGCTGTCACAGGGAAGAAAAGCTGTGTTAGACATAGTGAGCCTGTCAACACAGTGCCAAGCAGCTAGGAGAAGCCAAGGTTAGACAGCAGCCAGAGGAGAAGAAAAGGCACTTCTGCTGTCTACTCGAGAGTATCAACAGAAAATAAACCAAAAATCCATCTTGCTTAATAATTTGCTAATTGCATGAGCAGGCAGCAAATTTAGTTGGAATCAAGATCCGTATGTCTCTTTATTTTCCACATGTAGCAAAAATTAGCAGTATTATAATGTCAAGATTAAAGACTCCTTTTGCTTTATTTTGTTTTGTTTTGTTGACAGCAGTAGTACGATGAAACATCTATTCCACCCTGTTAAATCTGCAGTGTTGCTCCTTTTAAATTACCACATTTTAAAATGTTTTCTTTCTTTGCACAGCAGCAGTCAGCTGTTTTGGCATTTGAAATAGAGTTCATTGTTACTTTGTTGCATAATTGACTGATGGGAAGATTTTAATATTTTAGTGCTAGTTACCTGTTTGTGTCATTTGTATTTATTGAGATGCTCATGTTGTAATTGTTTAATAATCCCCTCACTGCAGACAAAACACGCCTATATCAGTACTGAACCAGCAATTATAAAATGTGTTTTTATAGTGTTTTGAGCTCAATAGGTTGGAATTACAGGGGACCGCTTTCCTCTTGTGGCCAAAACCATTTATAAAAAATAAAATTCTCTGATTTCAATATGACAATGCCAGTGGCAAAAGCGTCACATCCCCAAGCTCCCCCGAGTCCACATCCTCTACTCTATCAGCCTGCTAGCTGCACCGGTTGGGCCTGATGATCCAGATTTTGCTGGTTTTTAATTAAGTGGAAGGTCAAATCTCATCGCTCTTGACTTCAGGGAGCTGATGCTGTCTGCATGGCAGAAGAGCTACACCCAGTCATTAATTTTATGAAGCGGGGACTTTAATTGATTAAAAAGTTAAGGACTATAGGGAATGCATGGTAAGAGGCACTAGTATTTCATTGCTGTGATTGTCGTCCAATATTCATCGCAATTTATAATGGTTGCTAATGAGGAAAGATGATTTGTGTGCGTGCATTTAGACACAGATAGATAGATAGATAGATAGATAGATAGATAGATAGATAGATAGATAGATAGATAGATAGATAGATAGATAGATAGATAGATAGATAGATAGA